TCTACTAAGCATTTGGTTTATTTAAGTACTTTGTTGTTGTTGAGTGCCATCGAGTCGATTCTGACCCACAGCGACCCTGTATAGGGTTTCCAAGGAGCAGCTGATGAGCTTGAACTGCCGACTCTGCAGTTCAAACGGTTTCTTTAGAGTCATACAAACTCCTAAGATGCTATGAGTTACGCAATGTTAAGAGTTCAAATGCTATCCCAGGCGTTCTTAAAATCAAGATGATCTCGAACTTTGTTTCAGGCATAATTATTCTCTTTAGTTGAGAAGAGAAACAAAACAAAACCAAAAACACCTAATCAGAGTCTCACAAAGGGCATTATGATTTTTTAAAAATCCAGCTCTATTTACTTGAAAAAGGTAAGTTTGAGGCCTTCTGAAATGACCATGGCTCTGCAAATCAGAAATTATACCTTCATCCACCTGAAAACATCCATCAAAGGAGAACAGTTTAAAGTCTGTTTTCAGGGGGAAAAAACTAGAAAATAAGTATAACCTGCAGACTCTGGAAATATATATAAAGGCAAAAAGAAAAAACAAACTTAAATTCAGGTAGAAGTTCTGAGATGGTCAAAGGAGAAAGGTGGGGGCTGGGGGGGGGGGGGGAGGCGGGGGTAGTGGGCTAGAACATACCAGCAAAGACTCACTTGTAGATGAAGGGAGCCAGCTTTGAAAGGAAAATACTTTATCACTTGGGAAGGGGAAGTGGAAAAAGCCATGCTGTTGACAAATGTTCACTGGACCTGACTCACTCCAAAGATTCTAGGAAGGCAGGGAACCCCCCAGCATTACACAGAGTGGCTGTATTTGCAGGAAGCTGTCCATCTTAGTGGGAGCCGAACAGGCAGCATTCACTCACTGGAACTGGGTTTGAACCAGTGACCTTGTGGTTAGCAGTCCAGTGCTTATCTTATAGTACCACAACAGGATAAGCACTAGACTGCTAGCTGCAAGGTCAGCAGTTCATACCTACCCAGTTGCTTCTGGAAACTCTACACAGGGTCATTATGAGTCGGAACTGACTCGATGACACTTCACAACATCATTTAAAAAACAAACAAACACCTGAATCTTGTGTAGACAGGTCTGGTGAAAAGAGATGGCGATAAGATTCTTATGAGTCAATAGTGAGTAATTGTTATTATGACTAATTGCAACTGTCACAACTGTCAAGGTAGTTTTGTAACAAAAACAGGGGGAGTAGTTAATCTTACAGTCCAGTAACAGAGGATCTAAGACCATCAAGGGAGAAGAGCATGAGCGGAATGTGGGACCTTATCCAGAGAAGCAGTGACACCAGAGATGGAGGCAGAGATGAGGACATAAAGAGAAAGAGCTGTCAAGAACTCTTGACTCATGGAAAGAGAAAGACAGAGTGCTGGCAGCCAGGAGGCAGGCTTGCAGAATGTGCCCTTTGGTTGTTTAAATGATCATAGATTCCTGGGTGTTTTAGTGCACATCCCCCCAAAACAAACAAACAAACAAACATAGGGAATAGAAGCAAATACTGTTAAATGATGATACAGGGAGGGGATTGTAATCATTGCAATGAAACGATGATGAATGTAAAACTGATGTTCTCCCATGTCAATTATCACTCAATTCACAATAAAAGCTTAAACAAACAAACAAAAAACCAAACCTGAGTAATGTCCATACCATTTGGGATTGTCCTCCAAGAGATGTAAAAAGGCTGAGAAACTGCAGGAGAGAAGCTCAAGATTTACAGCAAGAATGAACAGTCCAAGTCAAGAGTGAAGCATCTAGCTGATATGAAGTGAGGGAGACTCACAAGAACACCCAAACTTGCACATAGTACCCTTTGATCTAGCCTAGACGGCTTGATAATCAGAATTCGACTAGAGGAAGACAAAAAAACAAAACAAAACAATTTTTGATCAAGGAAATTAGGATAAATTGCTACAATTTGGTGAACTTGACCTATACTCATGGAGATAGTACCTCTAAATACCAACAGAGAAGGAAGGAGTCTTCACATCAAGCATCAATGCTATACAGGGTAGATAGGGACGGGCAACTTAGACATTGGCTACCTAAAATGAGGGGGTGATAAAGGCATGAAGTGACTGGCTTACAAGGTTTCAAGAAGGAGTTTAGTTTAAGAGTGTGTGGGGGAAGATTGAGTCCCCACTGAATAGTTTTCATCTTGTCTAGATGGATCTAGTTAAAAGAGATGGGGAAAAGATTTGTATGATTCAATCGTGAATAATTGTTATCATGACTAATTGCGACTGTCACAACTGTAAAGGTAGAAGTTTTACAACAAAAACGGGGGAGTGGTTAATCTTACAGTCCAGAAACAAAGGACCCTAGGATCATCAAGAGAGAAGAGCACAAGAGGAATGTGAGACCTTATCCAGAGAAGAAGGTCCACCAGAGATGGAGGCAGAGATGGGGACATGGAGAGAGTGAGCAGCTGAGGACTCGAGATTCATGGGAAGAGAGGAACTAAGAGCTGGTAGCCAGGAGGCAGACTTGCAGAATGTGCCCTTTGGTGGTGTAAATTATTATATATGCCTGAGTGCTTTAGTGGATAGAGAGAACTACTGTTAACTGATGGTACATGGATAGGATTATAATAATTGTGATGAAACAAGGTATATGATTTATTGAATGTAAAATTATACCTTTATCTTGTAAACTTTCACTCAATTCACAATTAAAACTTTTAAAAAAGAAATTAAACAGTCCTACCCCTAAGGTGGCTATGGATCAGTACTGACTCGATGGCACCTAACAACAACAACCCCCTAGAACAGAGAATTTTCAAAGTGAGTTTAGTAATGTAAGCTGAGTACAACAGAGGGAAACTCAGGGACCCTATTTACAACAGAACAAAACATCACCTGGTCCTGCGCCATCCTCACAATTGCTGCCACTGTGCCGATCCATCTCGTTGGGGGTCTCCCTCTTTTTCTCTGTCCCTCCGCTTTACAAAGCATGATGCCCTTCTCCAGGGACTAGTCCCTCCTGATAATATGTCCAAAGTATGAGAGTCAAAGCCTGCCCATCTTGACTTCAAAGGAGGATTCTGGTTGCTCTTCTTCCAAAATAGATCTGTTCTTCGGGCAGTCCATCGTCCCTTTAATATTCTCCTCCAACAGCACAACTCAAATACATCAATTCTTCTACGGTCTTCCTTATTCATTTGTCCAACTTCTACATGCAGATGAGGCTAATGAAATACCATGGCTTAGGCACGCTTTAAAAAGGTCTTGTGCAGCAGATTTTCCTAATGCAATATGTCATTTGATTTCTTGATTGCTGCTTCCATGAGTGTTGATGGTGGGTCCAAGCAAAATGAAGTCTTTAACAACTTCAATATTTTCTCCATTTATATGGATGTTATTTACTGGTTCAGTGGTGAGGATTTTCGTTTTCTTTACATTGAGGTACAACCCATACTGAAGGCTGTGCTCTTTGTTCTTCAGCAGTAAGTATTTTAAGTCCTCTTTCAGCAAACAACCTGCATACCCAGGTTGTTAAGATGTTGTTAAGATACTGCATATTGTTAATGCATTGTTGTTAAGTCCTTAGAGTGTTCCAATACATAGCAAACCTACATAAAACTTCAGAGGCTTTATATATCTGTGGGGGCAGAAAGCCTCATTTTTCTCCCATGGAATGGCTGGTGGGCTCAAACCACCAACCTTGTGGTTCACAGTTCAGTGCTTATTGTACAGAGTCACACCCAATGAACTAAAACGGGAGACAGGACCTTGTTCAGCCGAGTCCCACTCCGTGGTGATGTTCCCAAGGTGGGCTACAAATGACTCGAACGTCATGAATTGGAGCAGTAAGGGTTTCTTTAAGAAAGGAAACCTGCAAGGGGAGATATGCCATAGACAACAGTATCTCTCCGAGCTCACAGCCTTTTGGGGTTTTACTGGGCTAAAGGGAGTCCTGGTGTGGCGCTGCAGGTTAATGCACTGGACTGCAAGGTCTGTTGGAGCCACAAGGTTGGCGGTTCAAACCCGCTAGTCACTCCTCAGCAACCCTATACAGGGTCACTATAAAGAACCCTATACAGAACCAACTCGACAGCACTTAACAATAGCAATAGAGCTAAAGGAGTCCTGGTGTGGCGCTGTGGGTTAATTCGCTGGACTGCAAAGGTGGTTTGAACCATACGGTCAACAGTTTAAGCTCATCCCTGTTCCTATACTGAGTTGCTATAGGTTGGAACCAACTCAACGGCACTTTAACAACAGCATAGGACTAAAAACAGGGACGTGCAGGGCTAGCTTCAGCAGGTTCCTGGAGTTATGATAACATCTCACAGTTTTGGATGTTAACTTCCCGGCTCCTCATTCCTCTGTTTGGTGTTGCTGTTAAGTACCCTCTAGTCGGTTCTGGTTGGTTCTGAAGAAGCTCTGGTAGCGTAGTGGTTATGAATTGGGCTGCTAACCTCAAGGTCAGCAGTTTGAAACTACAAGCTGTTCCATAGGAAAAAGTTGAGGCATTCTGCTCCTGTAAAGATTTACAGCCTCGGAAACCCTGTGCAGGGTCACTGTGAGTCAGAACCGACTCCATGCTATTAAACAACAACAGCAAGTCGGTTCTGACTCATAGCGACCCAGTGTAGGGTTTCCAAGGAATGATGATCCATACTTATTCTCATTTCTCACACATGTGCACCACATCCAACACCCCAGTTTGAGACCTAGGTCTGGCTCAAACACGCTATATTGAGGTTAACAGCCTGACTAATAAATCGTTACTGTACTGGCTCCGTGTTTTCCTTCTGTCCTGTTCTGCTAGGGGTTGGGCTTGTGGTCCCTGTGGGCTTCTGCATGTGTCAGGTCCTGCAGGCTGGAGGGGGCATAGCAATTCCTGTTTTTCATGAAAAAGAAGTGTTTTGCTAAGTCTCATTTCCTGCCCCACCTGTGTTTTGCAAGATGTGTGCTTTTGCCAGAGAATTATCTGTCCAGTCTTTATTCTTTCTCCCTCCTGGTTGTACCTTGCTCTAACAGTGCTGGGACTGTTCATGACCAGCTTACAGTTCAGCACCTCAGTGAGCACCCCTGAGCTCCCTTTGGAAGGCAGCTTGGACTTCCGAGTGGAGTCCCCTGGTATCACCTTAGCTGTGCTGGTGCTAGTAGGAGTGGGCACAGGCCACCAGAGGGAGACTGTGAGGCCATTGGAGGAGCAGGGGCAGGGGAAGAGGAGCGTGAAACAGGAGGCAGGCAGGTCAAACACAGGCCCCAGTGATAGGGTGGGGCTGTCCTTGGTGGGTGGGGCTGGTCCCTGGGGCTTGCCGCTCTGGATTCAGTTTTCAGGCAAGTAATAAACTCGACAGTTTGGAAGGGGCCACTGAGTGGGAGGTGAGGAGGCGTGGGGGATGGAGTCACCCTGGCCTGTTGGTCAAGTCAGAGCTGGACTCATTTCCTAATGGACATGAAGTGTTAAGGTATCTGGGACCCACAGTCTGTCAGCAAGTATTTATTGAGTACCTGTGTAATGCTTTTGAGTCCTGGTGTGATGCTATAGGACAGACACCGGACTGCTGACCACAGGGTCAACTGTTCAAATCCACCAGCCATCCCTCAGAAACCCTATACAGGGTGGCTGTGAATTGGAACCAACTCCGTGGCACTTAACAACAAAATGGTATGCTGGGGGTTCAAGAGGTTCAAAAACTTCAAGTTCACCCTCCAATAAGTACAGTCAGACACAGGTCCCTGGATTTCATGAAGGCTGGTAGGGGTTTGACACCATGGAGAGATGAGTTGGCATTTCCCTCCTTCCTCTCTTCTTGGTTCTTGGTCTCTCTCACCCTCAGTTTCTTCATCTATGAAATGGGAGTGCTGGACATGGCCATAGAGCGCCACTCACAGAAGAAGTGAGGAGGAGAGAGCAATAGAAATTGGTTACTTATTGGGTGAGGCTGGCGCCAGAGACAGAAAGGGAACAAACAGTCAGCCATTATGTGTCCCCAATGTTATCTCTTCAGTATCTACCAGCCTGCTTTGGACACATTCCTCACCTCACGCAGGTGAAAAGACAGGTAGGAAGGGTACAGGGTGCTGTGCTTGCTTGGACACAGCTAAGACTTGACTCCCTTCCCAAGAGGTCCAGTCTAATCACTTACCAGAAACCATTGTGGGATCTTAGACCAAATCTCTGGCTGCCTCAGTTTCCCCACTATGGCTGGAGAGAAACTAGAGTAGGAACGTGTAGAGAGTGAATTCTGTAATATCGGGAGCCAAGAGATTATTTTATTATTATATTTAATTACTATATATGTTGTTGTTATGCATCTTAGTCATATTATTTATTATTTTGAGGTCCTCCTCCCTGTTGTGGATTGCCTGGTGTACACAGAGAGGGGCTGCGGGTTCTAACACTAGCGTCTCGGTTGTAAGTTTATTCTGTTTGGGACTGTGCTAACTTCTAGCGTCTGTGATTCTCCATAGTCCCCCAACCGTGATCTCCCAGCTGGACCCCCACCCCCGCCCCAGCCCCTACCCCCACCCCATCCTGGTCCCGAGTCCGCGTCCCGTGGCAGGTCGGACAGCGCACGCCCATCACCGGCCAAAGACGCCTAGTCCTGGAGGGAGGACCCCGCCGCTCGGCTCAGCCCCCTCCGGGCTCCACCCCGGGCCTCGACAGGGCGGGACGGCGGGACGGCGGGCTCGGCCCCCATGGCGCTGCGCTGGCCCCCAGAGCGCTCCACACGTGCCACTGCCAATGGGTCAACTACCTTCGTACCTGCCAGCGATGCTGCTCTTGCTGTCGCTGCTGCCGGACCTCGGACCCGGACCTGGCGCGGGTGAGTGAGAGAGCCGTCCCTTTCTGGAACCCAGAGTCTTCCTCAGCCCAGCCTAAGGACCCAGGAGCCCCCCCACCCTGCTGCAAGGTCTGCCCACCCCTCCAGCCTTCTCTAGGGATGCCCACCCACTCATTCCTTCTCAGGGACACAGAAGCTCTGCCCCCCAGACCTCTGAGTCCATTCCGACTCCTCGTGACCCTGTATAGGGTTCTTGAGACGTAAAACGTAATCTCTACAGGACCAGACAGACTCCTGTTTCTCCCGAGAACCTGCTGGTGAGTGTGCCACCTTAAGGGTAGCAGGCCAGTGCTTAACCCCCAGCCCCTCCAGATCTCGATCAACCCTCCCCAGGGTCCCCCATTCTTTCACCCATCCCAGGGACACAGCCCCTCTCAGTCCTCCCTCCCCCCAGATGTTTAAGTCTAACCCTGTGCAGCAGTACCCTGGCCCTTCCATCCTTGTGGCCCGATGTGGCCCCACCAGGAGAACAGAGCAGAAGGACTGAGACCAGCACCCACTGAGGAAGAACGGACATACCCTCTGGAGTGGACAGACGCACTCTGTGGGAAGTGTACACACAGCAAGACAGACAGACAGGCACAGCCCACTGAGACTCACCTGGGCTCACCCAAACTGTCAACCCAGGCACACACACAAACACTCACAACCCAGGCACACACACAAACAAACTCAGGGTCACCTGGGGAGATCCACAGGGCAAACTCAGACCAAGAGGGACACACACACATTCACACTCAGGAAAACCTCGTTCATACACACAGGAAATTCACACACACAGGAAATTCCTACACACACAGCTAGCTCCAAAACCCTGACACATAGCAGGAATTCACATGCCCAGATAGACACACAGCTACAGACACACACAGAGATTTGTTAACTGGCCCACACTTTCACCGACACACACACACACACACACAATCAATACACTCACAGATTCAAGTGTGTAAATCAGATACAGACACAGATTACATGAGCACACACACACCAGAGACCCCCTGGACTATAGGAGGCATAGATGGCTCTGGAACTCCCAGCGAGGCTGCTCTGGGCCTTAAGGCAAACAGCCCAGCAGGACCTGCCCCACCCAGGCTGGCACTAGACTTGGTGCTAGGTGTCCACCCTGTGCCAGGCTCTCTGGAGAACTGTATCCAAGGTCATTTAATGTCAGAGAATAGCAGAGGAGAGTGAGGAGGGGGCTCTGGGGACAGATTCGGGCGGAGTGTGGAGACTGAAGGGCCCTTTTCTGGGTGCCCACTGCATGGCAAAGGAAGCCTACAGCTTTGTGGAGCTCCCACGGAGTCCCCTGGCTAGAGGGGGTAGACAGAGTACAGCTTGACAGAAACTACTGCGGTCATTGGGAGTGAGAAGGAGTGAGCTGGGTGAGGACATTCCCTTCCAAAGACTATACATTTTCACAGAAGCAGATAGCTCATCTTTCTCCCACAGAGTGGCTACTGGGTTTGAACTACTGACTTTGGGGGTAGCGGCCTAATGCTTAACCCACTACTCCATCAGGGGAGTGTAGTTTGAGGAACAGGAAATGATGGATCTGTGTAGGGAGTGTTGAGGGAGCTCTGTGGGGAGGAGGGGCTTGGGAAGACTGGTGCTGGGACTTTATTTGGTTCTTCTGGGATGCCTGAAGCCCAGCACCAAGAACTAAACAAATGTTTGATGCAAGGTGTGAACTCTGAGTCTGGAGTTCCTGAGGGCAGGGAAGGGCAACCCAGGAAGAGGGAGCAGCTTGTGTAAAGGCCCAGGAGCTGGGACTACGGACTCATTTTGTTATGTGCCAGCTGCTACATATGCATCACCCTATACCTCCACCTCACAGACAAGAAACTCCAAAGCACAGAGAGGTTGAGTAACTTGCCCAAGGTCACACAGTGATGCTTAGTTTGGAAAGTCAGGCTGCAGGCGGGTGCCCTCCCCTGCCCCTTGACCTGCAGCCTCTGACCTTTGCTTTCCTCCCAGCCTCCAGGAAGTCTCATGTACACCGGCGTGGGCTCCTGGAGCTGGCGGGAACCCTGCAGTGTGCCAGCACCCTCTCCGCCCTGGCCTACATCAGCTACGGTTGCCACTGTGGCCTGGGTGGCCGTGGTCAGCCCCGGGATCCCACAGACTGGTGAGTGTGCTCTCAGGCCAGCCTGGAGACCCCCACATCCTAGGGGACAGGTTGGGTAAAGCATTTAAGGGCATGTCCAACAATGAGGTGAGGGATTGGTCTAGGAAGGTCCAACCTGTGGTGATGCCTCATAGGCAGAGGGGCTTCTGGGAAAACATGGCCTCTAATTCCAAGCCCTGGAGCCACTGAACTGCCCTGGCCATGGAGCGACTGCTTTGTCGGACAAATAAGAGTAAGGTACCAGGAGCTGCCCTCAGCCCTCCTTACAGCAATGATCTGGACAGATGAGGCCACCGAGGCACACAAAGGTGGGGTAACTGCCATGTAGGGTGTGAGAGCTGGGAGTAGGGTGTCGGCTGGGTCTGAGCTACTGACCTGCGTGTGAGAACTGATGGGATGTGGGTTGTTGTTGTTGTTGTTAAGTGCCGTGGAGAAGCCTCGGCTTCTGCTCCAGGCTGCGAGCTTTCCTGACTTCTCTCCTCACTGTCCTGGAGGCAGGTGTCCCCACGTTATGGGTGCTGGCCCCACAGCTCTGCAGGGGCCAGCCCTCACCTGTTGGCACAGCTAGCAGGAGGCAGGAGGCAGAATTGACCTGCCTCTTCCTTAGCTTCGAGGATGTGATTGTCAATCGACCAGCATTTTCTTACTCTTGAGCCTTTCCTTGAGAGCCCTGGTGGTGCAGTGGGATGAGTGTTGAGCTGCTAACACCAAGGTCAGCAGTTCAAGCCTACCAGCCGTTCTTTAGGAGAACGATGAAGCTGTCTGCGCCTGTAAAGATTGAGTCTTGTCAAATCTACTTTGTCCTAAAGAGTGGAGAGAAGTCGGAATCGACTCAAGGGCAGTGGGTTTGGGGAGTCTTTGAGGATCCTACTGCCAAACCCACCCTCTCCGCTGGTTGTCTGACTCCTCCCCATTCTTCCAGCTGCAGTTCAGGCATTGCCCCCGCCACATGCCCTCTGTGATTCCCAGCTAGGCCTGGCACCTCCTCTTGACTACCAAAATTCCCTCCTCTTACCCACGTCCTGGACTCCTGGTGTGGCACTGTAGGATAAGCACTGGACTGTGAGCCACAAAGTCTGTGGTTCAAACACACCAGCTACTCCTTGGAAACCTATACAGGGACACTATAAGTCAGAACTGACTCCCACGGCACTTGATGATAACAACAGCAACAACCCACATCTCAGCATTTCTCACTGTCTGGGAGCTTGTCTGCCTCCCCGCCCTACTACCCACACACCCACAGGGCTTTTGTGAGGGCAGAACACGGTCAGACTGACCTCTCCCCCAGCCTCAGCTGAGGGAGGGCAGGACTGAGTGGAGACTGGTGGGTGGAGGAATACCAGTGAATGAGGGAGTCATGGCAGCTTGGGCCATTGAGCGGGCTCCTCAGAGACTTGTTCAACAGTAAATGTCTACTGTGAGGACCTACAGTGAACAAAGCCCTGTGTGCACTGCTCACTGAGAATTTAGTGCAGAACATGCAGTTCAGGGTCCTTGAGGAGGACAGCCCGTGGGTAATCCATCTCTCTAAAGAGGACTCACAACCTGCCCTGAAGGGAAAGAATGTGGTTTAATGAAAGGGTATACAAATGAGCCCATCCTAGTCTGAGGAGGTGAAAGGTGACTGGTTAAAACCTGCCCTGAGGAGCAAGAACCCAGTTTTGGGAGAGAATGTAACAAGGAGACCATCCCAGGTTCGGGGTGGGGAGTGGGGTGCATGTGACGGTGGCACCAGTATTGCAGGTGGGGGTGGAGGGACCGAGACCTAAAAAAGGAAGAGTGTCGAGGTCCTCCCAGGCAGAGAGCAGGATGGGTAAAACCAGAAACGGAGAGGAGGCCAGCTGACTAGATGCTGCATCTCAGACTAGGAGAGGGCGGTGGGCCGGCGGGGATTGAGGAGGCAGTGTGGGCACATGGAAGCAGCGGCATTGTCTCCCAGCAGTGGGGATAGTCAGGGACATCTTGGAGTGGGTGCTGGCCCCTGATTCACCTGTAGCCCTGACAGGAGAGGAGAGTGAGCTGACACCCACCTGTTGGTCCACTGTCCACTACACACAGGTGCTGCCATCACCATGACTGTTGCTATGAAGTTGTAGAGCGGGCCGGCTGCAAGCCCAAGCTGGACCACTACTCCTGGACGTGCATCAGCAATCGTGTGGTATGCGGTGAGTCCCCAGGGCCAAACCCACCCATCACCTGAATTTACTCCCTGGGGATCCTGGCAGAACTCGGTCCCCCACCCCCCATTCCCCCACTTTCAGTTGCTGCTCACTCACACAAGCCACCTCTTGGGAGCCTCAGGTCTAAGTCATCTTCCACACTGAGCACTGCCAAGCAAAGCCAGAGAACAAGATGGGAGTGGCACCAGGTGTGAGCACCCTAGGTTCCCATCAGGAAAGGGGTTGGTTTAAATAAGCCAATGATACAATTCCACTGTAGAGCAGTCTACAGCCTGGAGAAAGGAGGAGGTGGGACCTCGTGCTGGTTAGGAAAGGTGAGGAGTAGAGTGGCTTGTCCAGTACAACGCCATTTGTGTTCAAAAAAAATTTAACCACAAATTTTCCAGAATAGTACCATACGACTTTCTATGGCTGTATGTTGTTGTTGTTAAGTGCCATCAAGTCAATTCTGACCCAGAGCGACCCTGTATAGGGTTTCCAAGGAGCAGCTGGTGAGCTAGAACTTCCGACCTCGCAGTTCAAATGGCTTTGCAGTCTGGCACATTAACCCACAGCGTCACACCAGGAATCCTGTAGACCAAACAAATAAACAAGACCCCCAAATAAAACCACTGCTGTCAAGACCGTTCTGAGGGATAGCGACTCTGTAGGACATAGAACTGCCCCCGTAAGTTTCCATTGCTGTCATTTCTACCAGAGCAGACAGACCCGCACCAGTCTCCCACAGAGCAGCTGGGTGCTCAAACCATTACACCACCAACCCAAAACTGTCATCGAATTCATTCTAATTTAAGGTGACCCATATGGGCATGTGGAGTCCTGGTGTGGCGCTGTGGATTAATGCGCTGGACAGCAAAGTCGCTTTGAAACGAAAGGTCGGAGGTTCAAGCTCACCAGCTGCTCCTCCGAAACCCTATACAGGGTTGCTATGGGTCACAGCCGAATCAACGGCACTAAACAACAATAACAACAACATATTGGCATATGGAGTCCTGGTGTGGCACTGCGAGTCAAAACGCTGGACAGCAGAGTTGGTTTGAACCACAAGGTCAGTGGTTCAAGCTCACCAGCCACTCCACAGAAACTCTATACAGTTAGAACAGACTCAATGGCACTTAACAACAACAACATATAGTTGGTACCAACTCATAGCAACCCTATGCACAACAGAATGAAACACTACCTGGTCCTGGGCCAACCTCACAATTGTTACCACGCTTGAGCCCACTGATGCTGCCACTTTGTCAGTCCATCTCATTGGGGGTCTTCCTCTTTTTCTCTGACCCGCCACCTTACCAAACATGATATACTTTTCCAGCGACTGACAATACGGCATATAAGGAGACACTCCAAACTGAGGGTGACTGAGATCATCTCAGAGGTCCGAGCAGGTTGAAGAAGGTGATGTGGAAAGGGGACTTAACGTTCTCTGCAGCATTTCCATTGTAATGAAACAAAAAATGGGCCTGGGGGATATCTTCACGACTTACTATGAATTAAAAGTTAAAAAGAAAAGGAATATGCAGCCGGATATGCTTAATGCACTGATGCCTGTGATTTATTTTTAAAAGTATCAAAAATAACACTCCCGCCCCTCTCTGTCTTCTCTGCACTTGGAGCAGCTTTCCTGCCACAGTCCCTCATCCCCTGAAAATGTTCACCTGCACCAAATTTGTCTGCACCCCTTCCCTGGTCAGGAGCACTTCTCAGCTTCTGAAGCCACCATTGTCTGCAGTGGTACTGAAACAACTCCAGACACTGACAGATAAGCTTGACAGCCGCAGGTTCCCTGACCTCACTTACTTCTAGTCGAAGTTTCTAAACCAGCATGATCTCAAGGGACATTGACACCGCAGCCATGTTCATTGGGGCTGGGGCTGCCACAGTGGGAGTGGCTGGCTCTGGAGCTGGGATTGGAACTGTGTTTGGGAGCCTTATCATTGGATATGCCAGGAACCCTTCTCTGAAGCAGCAGCTCTTCTCCTACGCTATTCTGGGCTTTGCCCTCTCGGAGGCCATGCGGCTCTTTTGTCTGATGGTGGCCTTTCTCTTTTGTCTGATGGTGGAGTTGTCTCCATTTCCCAAGTTCTTTTTTTCCGTGTCTCGTCTGTCCTACATATTCCTTTCCTTGTACCTCCCCAGGCAGCCTGGGGAAAGTAATTGGCTCAGAGTTTGACAGAGGGAAGCTAAATAAATGTTGTCTAAATAAGAAAAAAAAAAACAAAAAAAACCTCCCAATAAGGAGATGGCAGGACAGTGGGCTGATGGAGAAGGAGGCAGTAAAGCCAAATGTCAGTAGTAGATCCTGTGTGGCGAAGATACAGATGTTCACTGATAGTCCCTTCAGCTTTGGTACATGTATGAAGTGTTTCCCAATTAAATACTGGAAACAAACAAAAAGCAAAAGAAAGGAAAGAAGATAGCAAGAGGGCCCCCGACACCTCCATTTCCTCGGCTGTGGAGTCCTGGTGTGGGCTGTGGGTTTATGAACTGGACTTCAAGATCGGTTTGAACCACAAGCTTGGCAGTTCAAGCTCAGCAGCTGCTCCTCAGAAACCCTATACAGGGTCGCTATGAGTCAAAACTGACTCGACAGGCACTTAACAAAAATAACCCCAATGTGTGACCCACTCCAACTTGGTGTGATGCAACATGTCTCTTGGACCTTGGTTCTAAGGGCCAACCCCAATGTCCAAGGAGAGCCAGAGCCTTATGTCATCCTAGTGGCTGCAGGGACAGCAGGTCCAGGTTTAAAACACCTCACCTTAGAGCTTTGACACCTCTCTGACAAAATTAACCAGGTTTTTTATTGCTTGTTTTTTAATATCTAATTTTATTATGCCTAATTTTATAATGTCTAATTTTATTATGTCTAATTTTATTGGAGTCCTGGTGTGACACTGTAGGATAAGCACTTGACCACAAGGTTGGTGGTTCAAACTCAGCAGCCACTCCTTGGAAACCCTGCATAGGGTTGCTGTGAGTCGGAACTGACTTGACAGCAGTTAACAAGAGCAACAATTTCATGTTTGGTAGAAATATAAAATTATTTTAAAGTGTGCTAATCAGGGGTTGAATTCCTGGTGTGGTGCTGTGGGCTCAGCGCTGGACTATGAACCATAAGGTCGGCAGTTCAAACCTACCAGTTGCTCCTCGGAAACCCTATATAGGGTTGCTATGAGTCAGAACCAACTCAGAGGCGCTTAACAACTCGGTGGTACTTGGTGCATTTACATGTTGGCCAACTATGACTTCATCATCTCCAAAGAAAACTCAAGGAATCCTGGTGATACAGTTGGAAAAGCATTAGGCTGCTAGCTGTAAGATTGGCAGTTCAAACCCACCAATGGCTCCATCAGAGAAAGATGTGGCAGTCTGCCTTTGTAAAGATTGTTGTTATTGTTGAGTGTGTCAAAGTGGTTCCAACTCACAGCAAGCCTGTCTAGGGTTTCCGAGGAGCAGCTGGTGAATTTAAGTCACTGACCTCGGGCTCACGCGCATTCTCGTACAGCACCACACCGGGATGCCTCTGTACAGATCCCAGCCTCAGGAACGCCTTGGGGCAGTTCTGCTGTATCCTCTAAGGTCACTGTGATCCAGCGTTGACTCCAAGGTAGCAGTTTGAGGAAAGAAAATGCTGTGCCCATTAGCCATTCACTCACCATTACTCTGGTGGCATAGTGGGTTACATGTTGGGCTGCTAACCACAGGTCAGCAATTCAAATCCACCAGCCACTCCATGGAAGAAAGATGAGGCTTTCTGCCCTCATAAAGATTTGCAGCCTCGGAAATCCTCTACAGGGTCGCTGTGAGTTGGAATGGGGCTTGGATGGAAAATCTGTTAAAGGTTCATCCTTTCTCCTTTAAGTGGCATTTTCTGCTTGGCTCCTTACCAGGTAGAAATAATATTTGTAAGACATTTTGTCAATACATCTGCTGGTGAAATCCATGCCTGTTTATAGAGCTTGCATCCTCCAAGCGACAGGAGCCAGAAGAACCCAAATACCTATTATGTATTTTGGTTACAAATATTCTTGTTCTGTCTGGAGATATTCTGAGCAGTTATTTGTTTGTTTGAAATTTATTTTAATGCCATGTTTGGCCCAGTTTCCATTTATGGGCCTGACTAAAATACATTTTAAAAAATTAAGCCTATCATAATATTTACTGGTAGGCCTCAAATAATTTTAAGTGTGATGGGCAAACCTGTTGGCCTTGAGAGCTATTTTTCCTCTCAAGTTTTTCTTCTTCTTCAACAACATGAGGCCACAGGACAGTGGGGCCAACTTTTGCTGTTGAGAGAATCTTTCTTGCTTGGGGAGGAAGGTGAGAAGGTCACGGAGTTCAGGTAGTAAGTCAGGGGGCTACCCTTGCCCAGTCTGTGATCTTGATTAATTACTGAGAACCTCTGGGCCTCACTTTTCTCATCTGTAAAATGGGAATGAAAACACTTAACCACTGACTTTGTGGGAGAATTGGAAATCGTTTCTCTGTATTCTCCCCACAGATAATTATTGATCATCTTTTCTATCCCAGCCTCTGTGTGAGGAGATGGAAAAGCAGCAGAGAACCACCCAGAGCAGCTGGGCCTTGCAGTCTCAAAGGGGAAGATGAGTTAGTGAACAGGGAAAGTTATGTGACAAGTGCTGTGTTGAGAAATAAAACAGGGGTGCAGAGTGTGCACCGTCTTTTATATGAAGTGATGGGGTCAGTTAGGGTCTCACTGATAAGAAGTCATTGAAGCAGAGACCTGGGGCCAGCCATGTGATGATCTGTGAGGAAGAACCTCCCAAGCAGAGGACTCTGATGGGGGGTAGGTGATGGGCAGCAGATGAAATGGACCAGGCTTTCTTGTGAGGAACCAGGAAGGGTTTAAACTGAGGAGGGATGTGATTCGATTTTAAGAGAACCACTCTGGCTGCTGCATGGAAAACATCCCACAGGGAGTAAGGGTGAGACACTTGGAGGTGTTTGTCTCACTTTGC